ATGGGGATGAAATGGCGAGATAAGAGAATGAAAAGATGTAAAGAGAGCAGGCGAGAGGGCCGTTAGAGCAGAGAGAGCTAAGTCCTTCGTGGGGAAAGGGAGGGAGTGACAGGGAAACGTCGACTCGCTGACAAGTATTCCAGTTGTTGTCGTAAACGCGCGTGTCGCTTTTGTTTCAGGTGAACCCTTCTGCCCACAGCTGTCACCCGGATGACAGCCAGACGCGAAACTGAAAGCTGGCGTTATTCTCCACAGTGAGAATAACAGTATGCCCATTGTTTCCTCTCCCTTCTGGGTGGATTCATCATGCAACCCTTCGCCACTCCAAAGGCTCAGCGAAAAGGGGCGCGAGGAGGTGATCGCCGTCCACCGCTGATGCAGATCTGGGCGTTGTCAACAGAGCGCGGCTCAATCTGGTGATCTGGCAGACAGACCTCGGGATGTTTACCATGTCTGAATCCTGGTCAGAGACTAAACACAAGCACACTGGCACGTACGCATATCTACAACAATTTATACTTGCACAAACACACGCACACTTGCAAATGCAGTTAGCGATGCAGAAAGGTAGAAGCGAATTTTAAACAAGGGGGCGTGCAGATTCCAAACACAAATATACACCGTGTCAGCAAATAATCAGGCGCCACATCGGCCCCTTGAGGAAAATGCCGGTGAAATGTTCGCGAGGAATATATAGTCATATTTCTGTTGCAATATTGCCATATTTTTATGGTTCTTTTTGGGTATTTCTGCCATGCTTTTATATAGCGTGCTGTTGTTGTGTTTGTTTTAAGGGCGTGGGCCACTCTGAAGCTACATTTGTTAAGTTGAAAGCCGAAGGCAGTCTATGAAGTCATGATTATATATAGAGTGAGAAGTATTAAGATCTTTAGGACTAGTCAAACCACCTTGACCAGCGCGGAAAGAGCCGTTCAAAGAAGGTGCAATATAATTTTACATGAGGCGCAGCCATGCAGGTGCATGCGTCAGAATTTATGCGAAATCGTGGACGTTTTGCAGATGGCGATTCTGCCGCTGTGTTGCGCATGTAAACGTTTACAGGCTCGAGTGTCACCTTCGAGGTCACCCACCTGGACTGAACGGCGGCCAGGATGGTGTGTGTACTTAGGATGGATTGAACTTTGATATATAGTGGTTTTATACACTGTACAAGTCTGAACTAACAACACCTTTGCTAATGTAGTTCTATCGCCACTTTGAATCAACCAAAGAAAATGTTTTAAACTATAAGGACTTGTATAAACAGTAAAAATGTTAAATCCAGGCTGCTTTACCTCTCCCTGGCACCAGAATAGAAGGGCCGAGATCTTGTAATGAACCCGACGACAATATCATAGCAAATTGAGGAGCCGAAGACACCGACGAGGCTCCTTGTACGGTCCCCCTCGTAAGGCAGACCATATGTGATGTCCCATATAAGGCCGGGCGCGCTGCCTTATGCGTCCCGTTAAGATCCCTTGAGCGAAAGCTTTGGAAACCGATCGTGTGAATTTATAGCGGGCGTTTTCCGATGCCTGCGCACACGCCCACCGGCATTCAGGCTATCGGGTGGCGTGTGACGTGCGGATGTCTTGGTCTTGAGATCTTGGGGGTATGTGGGCCGCCCACGGCTTCTGGAGGGTCGGTTACTCCGGAACCTGAAACGCGGTCCTGCTCCCTCTTCCTCCTTCTCTTCTCCCTCTTCCTCCTCTTTCCCTTGCTTCTTCTTCCTCTTCCTCCTCTTTCTCTTCTTCTTCCTCCTCTTTCTTTTTTCTTCCCCTTCGCTTCCTCTTTCTCCTTCTCCATCTCCGTCTCCTTCTTCTTCTTCTCCTCTCTTCTTCTCTCTCCTTCTCCTCCTCCTCCTCTCCTCCTCCTCCTCCTCCTCCTCCTCATCATCATCATCATCATCATCATCATCATCATCATCATCATCATCATCATCATCATCATCATCATCATCATCAACATCATAATTATCATCATCCTCACAGTTGCATATGATTTCCTTTCTTTAAAAGTCTGGAGTAGAGTTTTTTTTTATATAAGATTCTCTCTTATTGCAAGAGAGAATATATGTGCTCATTACGACAACATATGGCTACAGGCACACATCTGCCGTGCACATGGTCTCCATTCACACACATACACACATACGCGCACGATCACGCACACGCACACGCACACGCACACGCACTCGCACGCTAGTTATCTGTTAGCTAATTAACTGTTATTCTTTTTCTCTGTAGGGATTCCCTCTCCATTTAATTCATTCCTTATTGATATTAATAATTATTATTATTATCCTCGAATTCTGTACCCGGATGGTTGACCTTCGAAAGCCGAAGTCGTGGACGTTCGTTAAAACTTTTTTTTTTTTCTTGAAGTTTCTTGATATGTAATCAGCATCGTTTTCATCTTAGTCGCCATAGTCATCCTCCTTGTCCACGTCCTTCTCTTCTTATTCTTATTCTTACTCCTCCTCCTCCTCCTCCTCATCATCATCATCATCGTCATCATCATCATCATCATCGCCATTATCAATCATCATCATCATCATCATCACCATAACCACACCACCACACCACCACCCAACCACCACCCACCACCACCACCACCACCACCACCACCACCACCACACCACCACACCACCACGCAACCCACCCACCACCACCACCACCCACCCACACCACCACCACCACCACCCCCACCACCACCCACCCCACCCCCACCACCAACCACCACCACCACCACCACCCTCTACATCCACCACCACCCCCTCTACCCGCACCACCCCTCTACCAACACCACCACCCCCTCTACCCCCACCCACCCCTCTACACCCCACCACACCCCTCCACCCCCACCACCACCCCTCCCTCTACCCCCCACCACCCCACCCCTCTACCCCCCACCACCCCTCTACCCCCACCACCCCCCTCTACCCCCCCCCCTCTACCCCCACCACCACCCCTCTACCCCACACCACCCCTCTACCCCACCTCTACCACCACCCACCCCCTCTACCCCCACCGCCAACCCCCCACCACCCCTACCCTCTACCCACCTGCACCCCTCACCCCCCACCACCACCCACCCTCTACCCCGCCCCCCCACCCCCACCTGCACCCCCCTCCACCCCACCGAAGGGACCCAGCGGGGGCGGGCGTGGACTCTGGCTGGATGCGAACCTGTTTGTCGCGCGGGCAGAGGGCGGGGTATGGGAGAGGGTACGGAGGGGCGTTACCAAGCTCTCGTGGGGTAGTAATATATACCTGGCGTGACATACTCCCCTGTGTTCGCGGCGGCGGCGCAGGTGTCGCTCGTCGGCGCCGCCTTCGGGAGGGTCAGGGTTACTGCGGAACCTGATACGCGGTCCTGCTAACCTACTTCCTTTCTCTTTCTTATTCCTTCTCTTCCTCGTTCTTCTCTTGTTCTTATATTCTTTTCTTTCTCCTCTTACTCTTCTCTTATTTTTTTCTTCTATCTCCTCTTCTCTTCTTCTCTTCTTGTTCTTTCCTTCTCTTCTTGTTCTTCGTCTTCCCCCACTTATTCTCTTCCTTCTCTCCTCTCTCTCTTCTCTTCGTTCTTCTTCTTCTTCTTCTTCTTCTTTTCTTTTCTTCTCTCCTCTCTCCTCCTCCTTCCTCCTCCTCCTCCTCTCCTCCTCCCCTCCCCTCCTCCTCCCTCTCTCCTCCTCCTCCTCCCCTCCTCCTCCCTCCTCCTCCTCCTCCTCCTCTCCCTCCCTCTCCTCTCCTCTCTCCTCCTCTCCTCCCTCCTCCTTCCTCCTCCTCCTCCCTCCTCCTCCTCCTTCCCCTCCTCCTCCCTCCTCCTCCTCCTCCCTCTCCTCCCCTCCTCTCTCCTCTCCCTCGCCAATCCTCCTCCTGCCCTGTTGATTCGTATAGAATGGCAGTGTCGGCACTCCCTCTGTGCATTGTAAGTTTAACATGTCACTGGCCTACTCCCTTTCCCTGGGCTCCATAAGCACGCACGTTGCCTCACTTCTACCCTGTAAAATTCAGCATAACTTCTCTCCGTGTGTTTGTATTACCGTCGTGTTATCGAGCTCCTAGTAGCCGCGTTCTGCGGAACTGCATTCAGAAAGCATCCAATGAGAGGTCATTCACAGATACGCCCACATGTGACGAACCAGACATGAGCACGCACGTACGTACACACATACACACGAGCGCGCATACACACACACGAACACATACAGCGTGGCTCGGAGCTTGCCTTGCACTATTATGTTAGAATACAATCGTTTTATCGTTAATGAGATCCCTGGAGGTGGCTTTAAAACAGGAGTTATTATGATTTAGTTGAACAATGTCCTTGAATTGAAAGATGAGGCGAAATTAGAAGAAAATGAATAGAAATGGGAGACGAAAGGTGCATATAGGAGGTCGCCGCAGATAGAGTTGTGGATCTGTGGTTAGGTTAAGTCCGTGAACGTTAGGGGCTGGTGTGGGGTGTCACGTTACCACATCCCTATATTTTGATACCTGGGGATTCATGGGGTAATGAAGTTACACATTAATAAGAGGGGGATATTTTTTATAGCTGTGTGCATATTTAGAACCGGATCTGAAGCTGTGAAGTCTCTCTCTCATTTTGGTAAAGATCACATGAATATTTTCTTCTCCCGAAATCCCCCATTTTTTAACGTGTATAAAGTGAAGAGGAGCTTATTGCGAAAGGAGGGTAGACATGCACCCTTTGGACGATCTGTTTATATAGGGTTAAAGTTACACGGCGGGTTAGCCAGACATGCCTTCAGTTTTTACAGTGGATTCAACAGATGGCACACAGGTGGTGAGCAGTTGCCAGACATGTTGATGTAGGAGGTTATGACAGTTCGAGAAAACTGGTGGTAACCTCTGGCAATATAAGAAAAAGAAAAAAAGGTGTTCAAGTGCGAATGGTGTTTTCGTCAATTGCGAGGGTAAACTGTACTTATTTTTTTCGTTTTTTTCTGATATAGTATTTGTTTTTTCCTTCCGCAGGACCTGACACGTCGTACAGAAAGGCTCCCAGAGATCGAGGCTGCTGCAGCATTAACTTCTTAAAATACGTATTATTCATCTTCAACTTCATCTTCCTGGTGAGTTTTATTATTATCATTATTTTATTTTTTGTGGGGGTGGTGGTGACTACTGGTACGGCAAAAAACCTCCGATTGGTATCCTGCTCATGCGTGGTTAGATTAGGTTAGGTGAGGTTAGGTTGGTACTTGCTGCCGGGAAAAAAACGTTTATATGCGCATACGCATTTGTGTGCCGTGCGCCTAACCGCGAAAAATCTAATTCGGCTGCTGTATTTTTTATTACTCCTCTTCGATTGAGTTATTTCGAGAAAGTCGAAGTTTTTTTGTAAGGGGAAATAATTATACGTATGTATCATAGTATATGATAACGCACTAATGTTGCTAATGATGTAGGTGATATAATGATGTTCAGGATTATGTACATGATGTGATGATAGTAATGTAAATGATAATTATGGTAGAAAAACCCACAATGCACAAACTAGATTTATTGAAGAAAGTGAGACACGGTAGAGTGTTTTTTTTTATTCATAAATGGTAATTATATATTGATTAAGAGAATACTTATCACATATGGTACTAAACAATAATAATAACCGTAATGTTAGTAATGACAACAACAATAACTTCGTCAACGATGATAATGCAAACGCTAGTGACAATTATGATAATTGTTATAATGATAAGGATGATAATAATGATAAATGACATGATGCAAGAAGGGCATTTAAATTCATTTTTATCAACGAGTCCATTATGTACCTAAGAGAAATGACAATGGGTGACTGAGTACATGTTTAAATAACCTCGTGTTATTGTGATTAATTGGGCTAGTTATCAGATAATTGGGCTAGTTATCATAATCACCAATATGTCACACTCGTCAGTTGGATCACCGTCTTACGAAGTGAATTTTCGCCTTCATAATAACATGGTATAGTTAGTATTGTAGTTTTCTTTCGGTTTTTAAGTATCCCTACTTATTCATCCATTTTTTTACCGTAGTTACGCATATTGTAAAATTATGTGATCACTCTTGTTTCGAGTCAATTCATATCTGTGAAATATAACCATCTCTTACTTATTTACGTTAGAATGAAATTTACATCAACGCATCGGCGAAGTGAGTGACGGTGTCTCGTCATCTGGCGGATCGAGACAATGATGAGAGTTTCGACTGTTTCGACTCATTTCAAATCTGCTAAATGTCATTGGGCTATTTACCTGAAATTTTATTATCAGCATATCGATGAAGCCGTTAATTAGTAAATTGCAGTAGATTGGGTCAGTTAGTGTGGAACAGCGAAAGCAGAGGCATGGCGACTTGGTGCCTCTGTACCCGTCTGATGCCCCCCCCCCCACTGTCTCGTCGTCGTGTGGTCCAGGCTGCTTCGTTGTAGATCAATATGACCCAACTTTTTTCGGTTTATATTGTTTGGGGATTACTTACCGTATGCTGCTCTTCGTTTGTTTTCTTGTGAGTGTGTTGATATGCCGTGTGGTTGTTCTTGTGATAAAGTCTGGGCGGATGTAAGCTTCATCAAACATTTCTTGTGTTATTCTCAGTCATTGGCGCTGCTGGCACCACTTTGCAGCACCGTAATGCACCGTAATAACACTTCCTTGTTCACTGGCACAGCCCGCGCTAAAGTTACATGGACTTTATAACATAATGTTGCAACATCACGTTCTGTACCAGCCTAGTCCTCTGAAATTGCTCCAACGACTTAGAGTGTGAATTGCATCAACCAATTGTGTCAACCATGCAGAATATTTCTAGTCTGAAAAATGTGCAGACCCCCCCCCCCACACACACACATGCACGCACACACACAGAGAAGCCAGAGGCAGCGTCATCATTCCTTTGCCACAGTAAAAGCAATGTAAAATTAATTGCTTGGGGCTTTGCAGATAAGCGAGTGCCTGCTTGAAGCCCAATTTTGCTGTTGGTGTGAAGTGAGGAAAGCGTTCAACAAGCAGTTCCTTCAATTAAGTTTCTTTAGGGAATTTGGAGCAGAGCAACTTGAGATCGAGCATGAACATGGCAACACTGTCAGAACCTTCACAGGAAGTGCATGGCTGTGATTCCCATCATGATTATTGTCAGCGTAACGTGAAGATCTTTTATGAATGGGTGACTGTGTGCGAGTAAAAATGCAATCCTTGTACACACACTTGTACACTTCTACCCTTGTCCCTTTTTTTCGGAAAAAGCAGATTCTCGGAAACTTACAAAATCATCAACCTCGTCGACCTATTTTTTTTTTCCAAGGAGAGAACGCAAAAAGGAATACCTTACTCTCTGGTTTTCTGAAAGTCTTACGTCACACTTGAGAGGCAATGACACGAAGACCAGTCACTCTCACTCCCGGATGGAGGGCAAGAGCGCTCGTCTCATCTTTCCAGTCTTTCCTCAATTTCTAAAATCTAAATCATCTAAGAAAAAAAAGTTGAGGATTCATCAACCCGACATCTTACAGAAAATAATATAAAATGACATAATAAAGTTGATGAGAGAAAGCAGTAGCGATGGCTGCGTCCGATTCCCTTGCTCTAGTTACCGTTTTCCCCTGATGCGTGATGTCATATCCTCCCTCACTGCGGGGTTGTGCTCCGGCGGAGGCGCTGACGTCATCATGCAGGCAAGGCGGGGATGCCGTACGTGCGAAAGGTGCCCGGTGCTACTGCACTGCCTGAACCGTATATATATATATATATATATATATATATTATATATATATATATATATATTTGTATGTATGTATGTATGTATGTATGTATGTATATATGTATATATATATGTGTGTGTGTGTGTGTGTGTGTGTGTGTGTGTGTGTGTGTGTGTGTGTGTGTAACATATATCCATCTATCTGTACATATATATATATATATATACATAATATAATCCTACCTATCTATACATACGCACGCACAACACACCACGCGCGCGCGCGCGCGCGCATTTTATCTATATGTGTGTGTATATATATATTAAAAAAATAATATATATATATATATATATGTATATATATGTGTGTGTGTGTGTGTGTGTGTGTGTATATATATATATATATATATATATATATATATATATATATATATATATATATATATTATAATATATAAAAGATATAATTCCACAACTTGCTGACGCCCGTCCCGGCCTCAGCTCGGGGGCTGCGCTGTGCTGGGCGTGGCCATCTGGACGCTGACGGAGAAGCACCACTACGTGTCCCTGCTCACCACGACCACCTACGCCTCCGTGGCCTACATCCTCCTGCTGGCGGGCATCGTCGTCATCTTCGCCGCCCTCCTCGCCTGCTGCGCCATCCTGAAGGAGGACCGCTGCTCTCTGCTGGTGGTACGTCCCTCATTCGCACCAGCTGGTTCGTTTGTTTAGAGATGGTCTGTTCCCTAAGAAAGAGCATTTCCTTGGGGTAAAGTCGTTTATTTCCTTTATTCACACCATTTGGTTTCATTGTTTGGGTAAAGATATTTCTATTTCCTAAGAGCATTTCATTCGGGTAAAGTCATTTATTTCATTTATTCACACCAACTGGTTTTGATTATTTGTTTGGTTAAAGTTATTTCTATTCCTCAAAAAGAGTTTTATATATAAGTGTGATGTATTTTCTTATTTTCATCTTGGTATCAAATCCTTGCTCTTCTGCTGACGTTTCCTCCGCTTTCCTTCCGCCGCCAGTACACGTTCCTGCTTCTGCTGGTGTTCCTGCTGGAGGCTGTCGGCGGCGTCCTCGCCTACGTGTACGAGGAGCAGGTGATGGCCGAGCTGTCCCACACCCTCACCCAGACCTTCAACGAGAATTACATGATGGAACCCGAAGTGACCCGGGCGGTTGACATGATGCAGAGGGAGGTGAGCGAAAGCCGGGGGTGTGTGCGCTGGTTGATAAGGCCTTTGGGGGGAGGGGGGCGCCACCTGGCTCTTGCACTTCTTTCTTTGTGAGGTCTATGGGTTTCTCTCTCTCTCTCTCTCTCTCTCTCTCTCTCTCTCTCTCTCTCTCTCTCTCTTCTCTCTCTCTCTCTCTCTCTCTCTCTCCTCTCTTCTCTCTCTCTCTCTCTCTCCTCTCTCTCTCTCTCTATATATAATATATATATATATATATATATATATTATATATATATATATCTGTATATATATGTATACAGAAATAAAGATAGAGAAAGTGGTAATAGACAATAGATAAATATGTATGTGTGTACGTTTGTGTGCGCATGCGTTCATACATATGCATATGTATATGCCCATTCCCGAACCCCCCTCCCCTCTCCTTTCCTAACCTTCCATAATTTTCCTCCCCGCCCCGCCCTCCTCCTCCTCTCTCGTTTCCAGTGTGTTTATATCTCCCTTCCTCTCTCATTATCCACTTCATATAATTTGTGTCAACGCATTTTGCTGTAATATCTTTTTGATTTATCTGCCTCGCCCACTCTCCCACTGCTCTGCTCTCCCACTCTTTCCATTTAACGCAAGGTGTCCGTCATATCCTACGATAATGTCACCGACTATGATGTCATATCCGAGGATGAAGTCACTCAGTTGACCTCGTTGGCCTTACATTCGCCTTAAAAAGTCATCATTTATATATCCAGATGTGCATCCGACGACCCAAATATTTCGATTTACTAGTAAAAATACTTTTTCTTCGCATTACCAGTATAAACAATACTTCGATGTACTGTTTTGTAAATATGCCTTTCACTTACCGTGCCACATTCACACATATAATACTTGATATACTGTTTTAGTAAAAACAGCTTTTCCTTTGCAATACCACATTCATACAAATAATACTTCGATGTACTGTCTAGTATATACATTCACATCCACAATACCTCGATGTACTCTTTGATGAAAATACTTTCCCTTAACATAACCACATTCACACGAACAACACTGCGATGTAGTTTCATGAAAATACTTTCCTTTAACAATACCACATTCACATGAACAATACCTGATGTCTTGTCTTTTAAAACAATTTCTCCTCGCCAGTACCACTGCTGCGGGGCTCTCACCTTCAGCCAGTGGCGCGACAGTCGGTGGCTGCAGGAGGGCCAGGGCATCAACAACACGGTGCCGGACTCCTGTTGCAAGACGCCCTCCCCGTACTGCGGCGTGAGCGACCACCCGTCCAACATCTGGTACAACGTAAGTACACTTGCCTTTCGCTTTCTCTTTGCCCTCAGGAATCTTGGGATTTCAGTAGCCGTAGAAGTGGGTTTTGTTTCTCGGGGACTGTGTCCATGGATCGGGGAATCATTAAGAGGGTATGGTGATGAGTGTTACAGGGAGTTGGTATCGTTAGAAGATAATTTTACACGCATTTGAAGCGGATTTCTTCTCTAGATTCGTTATTAATTATTCTAACCATATTCTCTCTTCCAGCTACAGTGAATTACTATAATTAGTGATATTCGTTATTCTATACGTACTCTCTTTTCTCCCAGCTATATTAAGTTATTAAAAGTAATGGTAATAGTACTCGCTCTCATTACGAATTCTCCCTCCACATTAGCCATTAGTTATTCCAACACCGTATTCTCTATCCTTCCAGCTATATCGGATTATCATAATTAGTGATAATCGTACTAGCTTTCATAAAGGATTCTCTCTCCGAAATTACTCCAAAACTGCCTTCCTCATTCTTCCAGGGTTGCATCCACCAGTTCGAAGAGGAACTGGGTAGTCACCTGGTTGTCCTCGGGGCGGTCGGCTGCGGCATCTCCCTCGTACAGGTCTTTGGGATGATCCTCTCCTGCTGCCTCTATATCAAGCTGAAAGACGTGGACGACGAGTACTGAGGGAAGCTGAGGTGTTACGTGGAAGAAACCAAAGGAAGAATGCTGTAGTGATGGAAGAAGCCAAGGTGGAAGAAGCCAAAGTTTGAAGTCTCGAAGAGGAAGCTCGGCAGCCCAGCGAGCTCGCCGGAGAAGTGGACGTTGAAACGAGAGGGAGACAAAGAGTGTGAACGATTTCATGGAACCTGGTAAAAGGCTGAGAGAGAACGGGAAGAAAGAAATATATATTGTACCTAATATGATAGGTGTACAGTTTAGGAAATATACGTATATATTTTTTAATATATTACCTTAAAAACGATCTCGAATGATAGCTTATTCGTTAAATTCGATTCGTTTCTTCGTTAAACTCTAAAATGAAGAAAAGTTTGGTGCTGGTTACCGCTTCTGACCGGAAGTGTTTGTGTGTGTTTATGTGTGTGTGTGCGTGTTTGATTTGTGTATGTTTTGTGTAGTTTTACATTCTGAGGAATGCTGTTGTACAACTTATTTCACAAACGATATATCTTAACCAAGGATTATTAGTTTATAAGGATAAACCACTGTAGCCACATTGGGCTGCGCTGAGTCATGTATATAGTGTTATTAGCAAGCAGTCGA